ATATTAGTGTCGACAGGTACTTCCCATTTTTTATTCCAAAGAAAAGCAGTTAAATAAAAACAAGTGCCCCCAGTGGCGTATCCAGCCTGAGGCTCTGGGGGGGACACACCCGATGTCCGCCGGAGTCGGAAGTTTTTTTGGGTGCCATGACCAAAAGTTGTTAAAATCACACACACACACACATCTTGATGGCATATTCGTAAGTGCGCAAAAATAAGCTTTGAGTGCGGGAAAGACACTTTGCGCAAGTGTTAAAAACAATACTTTTTCTACGAGTATTTGAAGATTTGCATAGCATCCAAAGGAGCTGTGGGTACCTAATCTTCTTTAAATGTTTCCGGATGCTCAAAACTGGTAATTTTCGCTCTTAGTTAAGGCCGCGTTAATGGCCGCCATGTTTAAATTTAGTTTTTGAAAATGATGACTGCGTCACTCTACACATACGGTTCAATTTTTGACTTTTTGTCCAAAACAAAATCTCTTTGTCGGTGAAACGCTTAGTGACAGAGAAAGACAAATATACAATTATGATGGTCCCAATGTAGCTTTTTTGCCGTGACGCCATCTACTTGAAATTGCTTGAACTGTTTACACCTTCAAAATTCGTTTTAAGGTCATCTCAAAAAATCCGCAATAATTTCCAAAATCCTTTGGCATAAACATTATTTGATATATTATTTACAATCTCTATAATCAGCTTTTTTTAGTTTTTCGTGGTTATCAATAAAATATGCTTTTCACGGATCCAAGCTTGATAAACATGCAAATATGCAACCACCAACACATTTAATTGTTTTGTTGGCTGCGAACATGATTTTTGAATTTAAAAAAAAAGGCTGAATATCGAAAAACCAAAATAAGGAATTGTAGATAATCGATCAAATAATGTTTATGCCAAATTTGAGCCAATTCTGATGTGCCGTTTTTTTAAAGACCTTAAAACAAGTTTCGAAAAATCAACCAATCACAGTTTAAACATGGCGGCCATTAACGCGGCCTTAAATGTGTTTTTTTTTCAGTGATCACCTTGACTTTATTTGCAACAGTGGTTGTGCTAGCGAGGTTTACTTAGAATTTGTTTTTCCTGCCTAATTTTGAGACTAAACTTATTATACCAGGATGATTATTTTTTCATGTGACTTTTTGAATTAGTTTTACATAGCAAGTACAGCATCTTCCCAAAATATCCTGTCCATTTTTGCTTGCATTATTTCATTATTATAGATCTTGCTTTGTCCATTGGTGTCTGATTCATTCTTTCCGCGACACCATTGGGTTGAGAAGTATATGGAGGAGTATAACTTACTGTCCAACTTTAATGATCTGATACTCCAAAGGAATGTTATTATACTCAGAATTTACACACGTCAAAAATGCAATGAAAAATAGTGAAATAGTGTAAAAAAATCACTACCTATTTATTATACATATGAAAATTCCAAAAATGTATCTATAAAATTTAATCCTAACATTTCTTAATTTGAAAAACAACAATTTAAAAAACAAATAAGTCAGGACTAGTCAGGAGGAATATGAGTGGGTGGCTGCCCACGCCAATGGTCACTTGACCTCACACCTAACTGTTTTTGCTGGATTTTTCCTCCCCTCGCTCCTCATACGAAAAATTTCAAATTAAAAATGCTAAACATTACCTGAAAACCTTTCTTGGAACAAAAATAACATCAAGCCCTTCTTTTTGAATATTAGTTTATCCAGAAACGCAACTTTGCGCACGCAAATGAGTGTGCAAAGTAATTACTTTGCGCACGCGAGTAGAAAATATTATTTTTTGTTATTTGAGATATTTTTAAGAAATAAAAGGTTGCTGTTCTGGGGGGGGGGCAATTGCCCCCTTTGCCCCCCCCTGGATACGCCACAGAGTGCCCCCCCCCCTAAATTTTTCTGGCCCAGTCTGGCCCCCCCTAACATAGAACCCTGGCGTCGCCACTGGTCGTTATTTAAAGGTACGGTTTGTTAGGAGAGTACGCGACGCAAAACTGACAACGTAAACGTGGTCATTGGTTCAGGTATGACGTACACAGAAAACGGGTGTATGTCATACCTGAACTAATACGACGTTTACGTTGTCAGTTGTGCGTCGCGTACTATCCTAACAAACCGTACTTTTGACTACATCGGGAGCCTAAGCCTAGATACTCGTAAAAAAAATGGGAAACATTGCAGTAGCAGAGAACGAGGAAATACAATATATTTTAGATAGAGCCTGCAATAGTCTCGATACCCTAAAGGTCATCCGAAAAATCTCGCAATATCGTTCATAATAATCATATGAAATAATCAGTTTTTGGTTGTTTTTGAGTGGGTATTTTGTTTTGAATCTTTTTTTTTATGTTTAAGTATCGTCTCATTTTTTTTTTATAAATTTTCTCGCTCGTAGAAAAAATACCGTTCCTGACTCTTGCGCAAAGTGTCTTGTTCGCACTCGACTGCTGCTCGAACTCCGCTCCGTGTCGTTTGGTCAACTGCAGTCAGCGTGCGAACAAGACTTACTTTGCACACTTGTTAGGAAATATACTATTTTAAAAGGTTGTTTGTAACTGTGATATTTGCACCACCTATAAAATAAGTCTATTGGATGGTGTTGGATACTTTGAAGGAAGTCTAGTGAATGTTCATAGAGATTTTTGAAAAACGTCCTTTTTCGTTTTTAAGCGTTCGTATTAAAACATTTTTGAAACGCTCATTTTCGACGTCTATATGACGTTTGAAATGACATTTGCACCAAATAAAAATGCACCTTTGGAGATTCTCAGTTACTTTTACTGACGTTTTTAAAACGTTCTGACGTCCGATAGGATAATTTTTTGAAACGTTTCTGTGCTATTAGGGTATCTACATAATGTATCTGTTGATTGTTGCCAAGAGCTTGGATTGGCTGACTCTTACTTTGTTTGTTTTGTTTCTTGTTTTCTTATGTTAGTTTTTTTTTTGTGGTTACTTAAGTTACATTATATAGTATGTGGTTTTATTGCTATGATGCTATGCCTTACTGTTTCGTGTAATTATTTTTTGTTTCTACAATTCAAGATCTCTCACATTTTCCCTAAGCGGGCCATGGGATAGGGCGGTAAATATACTCATTGCCCAGGGCGGCAAAATACCTAGAGCCGGCCCTGCTACACTAAAAGTAATTTCGAAAAGAAGTTCTTTGTGACACTCCTTTTTTACTTATCGGAGGTTGGTAACACTGGCTGACTGATGGCCATCGAACTGTCATTCGCGATTTTATAAGAAGATTTCTATATTTGGCATGTAATGTTACCAACCTAAACTATGAAATCAGGAAATATGAGAATAAAATTTCCAAAAAAAATTTGTTTATTTTAAATTAAACAATACCAAAATAGAAAAAATAGTATAAAATATTCGTTTCATAAGACATTTTATGAAACTTGTATTTTAATGTATTTATGTTTTATATCAAATTAATTCTTTCCGTGTAAATACGTTAAAGGGGTGATAAGAACAACTAGACAAAAATATTTAAAAGGAAAAGAAACTCATTATTGTTATTTTTATCAGTTCAATTTTTACAAGTACCGAATTAAATATATCTGTACAGATCCAATCTCTGAATTTCAAGTACCTAGCAAGCTTATTCGCTGAACCTACGTTTATTAGATTGTTCACATGTCTGCGCCAAACAGAGTGTGAATTGTTAATTTTTTGAAAAAAGCGTCATCTTCGAATATCTTGATCGCGATCAGCAGATCTTATTTTCTTCACGCTCGTTTATTACTTTACGCTTTTGTGCACCGAACATCATCATGCGAAAATATCTTCTTTTGCGTTTATGTCATGGAATACCTACACGGAAAACTTAAAGATTTCCATCAGCTGTAAGACTTCAGATGTTGTTAGTAGGTAGTTATTATTATCAGTAAAACATCAGAAAGATTTTCCAAGCCAAGATCATTAAATTATGTATTAACATATACGAGTGTTCCTTCTTAGCAACAAGTTAAGTCGGGATGTATTACGGCCAATTAATACTAATTAAAACGAATAACGTATCAAGGAAACTTAAAAAGCAAATCAGAGCGTAAACACCACACATATTTAATATATTTACAAGCTAGTTTATTAATTTGTATTTATTTTATGGCTTTGGCTGAAGAAAAAGTAATTAAAGGCGCATTTATGTTGTGATTTATTTTGGCAGTTTTTTTTTAACAATATTCGAACTGGAAAATAATCTTTCAAACGATAACCAATTAAAAAGAATGGTGAAATTTGTGGGACAAGCCCTCAATTAGTATTTATTATTTATGATAATATAGATTTTGTTACAATAATTATTATATAATTGAGATAGATTTATAAACTTCAGTTTAAGAAGTAGGTATAACACTTAAGTTAGTGTGATGAAAAATCCTCTAGAATACTTTCCAATAAAAGAAAAACATTGATTCGATTCAAATTTTGACTAAAGTCAATGTGTGAGATGAAAGTAAGAATACTTATTCATTTATGGGATAATCTTTTTTAATCCGTGTTAAAAGGGAGTGAATCTTTTTTTGGTCGCAATTGGAAACCAAAGTACATATTTTGAAAATGTTCAAATTTTTACTAATAAATATATTCATAGCAGTTATATTGTAAAACCCTATTTTATCGTTATACTAATAATTCTCCTTTCCTGTGTTGATTATGGGCATACACCTCTGTCAAAACTTATAATAATGTAAAACGTAAAACTACTTAATCAGCAGTACTGCACTGGTAATACCACCATTCCGCCTTCCGCCCACGTAAATGCTAGCATCAGCAGTTATTTCTTATTTAAGCCAGCGCAATCCCGTAAGGAGCATTCATTTGTTTTCAGGCATTTGCTGTAGCAATTTGATCCACATATTTTCGTTTATCACCATTGTATTTTAATTAATAAAATAAATGTTTTTTAAAAATATAAGTTTCTGAATCGAAAATATAATTTAGCAAGGGAGGGGAGACTCACGAAAAATACAAACAAACAAAACGACAGTTTTTACCAGATTTTATTATAAAAAATTGTGTATAAATAATAAAAAAAGAAACACAAAAAATCTAGTTTTATAAGGATTATATAAAATCAGTAAATTACTTTATTACGATTGCAATGGGTATAGCCGCAAGTGCCCGTATGATATTCTCCTTTATCGCAAAGCAAATTTTTCTTACAGGGCATCGATAGTTTTGATCTATTACTAATCACTTTGTACTTTTCTTTACTACATTTTGGCTCCTTTATATCAGGCTCAGCTTGGCGGCACAAATCTGGAAAATTACATTGAAAAGTTACAGATTTTTACAAAAATATTTAAAATATTAGACACAATATGGTTCTGAAAAAGTATATTAGTATAACTATTTTTTTGATCATAAATATCATTTTTATCAAGTATTGGCTCAATCAATTCAAATATTGACACAAATTTAGAAATGTCAAAGAAAGAGGCACAATTCACATTGAAAATAGTCTCCCGTAAAGAAAGCGGCACGGCACAATTTACATTGAAAATAGGCCTCCGTAAATTTCAACCAAATTTCAATATCTTAAAGATATCATCATTGCAAACCAAATTTTGAAATATAAAGAGGATCATATGTCTGTGATAGCAGATATAGCTTATCAAATTACAGGTCCTGCTATGTTATGCATAGGAAATATCCGAGGAAATATTCCTACGTAAATTTTCTTGAATATCTCGGAAAATACTAATCCAATTTTAACTTTTTTTGGGTCCTTTTGTAGGTTTCAAACTCCAAAGAAAAAGGTCTAAATCGGATTAGTATTTTTCGAGATATTCAAGAAAATCTACGTAGGAATATTTCCTATGCCTAGCATAAGATGAGGACCTACGTACAGGGTTATTGGTTATAAATGTCACCCCCCTCTATCTTTTTTATTTGACATTTTAGAAAAAAGTATCCCAAATAAAAGTTTTATGGTTGAAATTAAATTTTTTGAAAAACTCACTTTCGCATATACAGGGTGTTTTAGAAAAGCTGATCGCGCTCCAACTTTCTTATTTTAAATGGAATACCCTGTATATTATTGAATATTCGGATTTTACATAAAATTTTGAGCAGATTTCATGTGATATACCCTTCAAGTTCAACTGTTTTGGAAATATTGATGGTTGAAAATTGACTTTTTGCAACTTTGACAGGCTGTAAAACCTAAACCGTTAATTTTAGAGCAAAACCGATCTTATGTTTTTATCTTGGATTTTCATAAACTATCAGTTGACACTGATATTTAACATACCAACTTTCAATTTAATCCATAATTAAAAATTCAAATTAAATTTAAGGCCACAACGGCACCCCCTTCAAATTATATTTTAGTTCTAAAAAAAATTATAGATGGCGCCAAGATGAAAGCATTTGTGGCGTCATTGTTCCGCGAGTCCGTTGTGTTCAACCCTGGATGGCTCAACTATTGTGTACAACCCTGGCGGCCTGACGTGACGTGGCAGAAGACAGCTGTCCCAGGTTGTTGTTTACTTCTAGTCAGCTTGTTGCCGCGCAATTATGATATCGTGTTGTTGTTAACAAAATAAAGTATTTCGATTTATTTGTATGTTCAGTGCCCAGAATTAAACCGAGTTATTAGTAAAACAGTGTTTTCATTCGCTGGTGATATATCAAGCAAACACATAGCAGTAGTAGCTATACATTTTTACAGTGGAGCAGAACCAGTGCAACTTTTTTCACTCAGTTCGCACTGATTGGCTAATGGGATTATGGAGGGATTTGTATTTCCATGCCTGGTATGACTTCAAATTTTGTTCTACTCTGTAAGAGTGATGTTTTGTTGTAGAGCTTGTTTTTGAGGTATGTTTAGTTGTGGTAGGTACCTATGAGATTTTCAGGAAGCAATTGGCACATGAATGGGTTTACAAATAGAAGAATACTCGGAGGAATAATAAAAAAATAGTCCTACCAGGAGTCTTACACAATTTCAGATATTGGTAAAAGATCCAAGAGCTAGTAAAAGAAATGCAAATCGCCAGATACCTAAATTGACTGCTCCTACTGCATTGGCGGATATTATTATTGCACTAATATGCAAGAACACAAAGGAAAAACTCTAATTTTAGCACTTTCCATCTTATGTAAATAAATTTTAATAATTATTATTGAAGCTTTTTATTTTTTCAAAGACATTTCGTCCTACAAAACACGATCCAATTTTTTTATGTATACCTAGGTACGTAAAATAGATACTTTATTTATTTTCAATGGAAACTAATGGCACAGCATGCTTTGTGCCTATTATTTTATAAACCAATAATAAAAAACAAAACAAATACACAAGGTGAGAAAGAGGTTTTGTTATCAATAGGTTTTTTTGGAAACGCTGAACAACCTACATCAGCTGCTGCTCCAACGGTTCGAGGTTTTCGAAAACGCCTAATTATGACATCATGAATTGACTGGTGGCGCCATCTTCGAAAAAAAGCCTGAACTATATTTGCCAAAATATCTGTAATTTTATTCCAAAATCGGTTTTAGACTACAAAAAAAAACGGCACATCAGAATTTGCTGAAAGGACATGACACTAACCGTGCGTTCGTTATTTTGGTCTGAGTTCTCCGAGCTTGACTTTACAGTTCGTTTATTCAAAAAGTGTACTCGGTGTATCCTCATTCGCGTTCGTTTATTAAAATTTCTGGCACTTTTATACAGCGTTCAACTGCTCTGTTCGCTCGCTGGTCACGTGGTTACGGCTCCGCTCTGCACACTCTGCTCTTCGAGCAAAATACCGAACGCAAGGTAAATATTAGAATCCTGGTGATCGGTCGATTTTTTTAAAACTGTAGTATGTTATTCTATACCTGAAAACAAGCATTTTTGCTATGGTCACTTTTTTGTAGGAGTATGGGATGTCCCAGAAAATTAACTCCAAAGTTTTTATATGGAATATTTTGTTTGAAGCATAAATTATGTTTATCTAATCTGTTATGTATTTTTGCAACTTATACATTAAAGACAAAGATATTTATGTAGTTAAGAACAAAAATTATTATACAGGGTGTCTCAAGAATTTTATTTTAAACCAAACTACACCCTAAAGAAAGCCAATAACCAAAATAACGGTTAAAAATAAATTGAGTTCAAAAGTTTATATCAAATGTTCGATGTATCGGTTTAGTGAACACAGTTAGAGCCAGTTTCACAAACAGTGGTAACCCAACAGTAAACAAAAGACACTGGTAACCTACAATATATCTGTTCCATAATGTGTGCTTAAGCCAAAACCTCTGGTCAAGCTTTAGAATATTTAATGTAGTCAACCCGCAAATATGAGTCCGATAGCCAGTGCAGGTTACCACAAGGCCTATATGGCATATTTTTGTATTTATTGATATATTTCTACAGTATTAAATCCAAATTGTTTCCAAGGAACAACCAGCTACTTTAAATAGTCTCTGGTGATCATTGTTACAATATTTGTAGTTATTATTGATATTTTAGGTTATTATAGTTTTGTAGCAGTTGTTTTAGTTATTGGCTTTCTTTAGAGAGTAGTTTAGTTTAAAATATAATTTTTGAGACACCCTGTATAATAATTTTTGTCATCAACTACATAAATAGCTTTGTCTTTAATGTATAAGTTGCAAAATCACATAACAGATCAGTTAAACAACGGTTAAACATAAGTTTATGCTTCAAAGAAAATATTTCATATACAAACTTTGAACTCAATTTTCTGGGACATCCCATACTCGTACAAAGAACTGACCATAAGCAGAAATGCTTGTTTCCAGGTATAGAATAACATACATCCGGTATGTTTGCACTATGCACGATAAAAAAATCGGCCGATCACCAGGATACTAATATTTAGTGCCATGTCCTTTGGCATAAACATTCTTTGATCGATTATATAGATAATAGTGCTCTTATTTTTTCAATTTTTACCGTGGATATTTCTATTTTTGGGAAATAGTTCATTTTCACAATATAGGCCAAAAAAAATTTCGAAATATGGAAAATCTAACTGCACTATTCTCTAGATAATCGATCAAGGAATGTTTATGCCAAATTTCAGCAAATTCTGATGTGCGGTTTTTTTTTGTAGTCTAAATCCGATTTCTGTATTTTGTATCGTGTGCATGGGAGCGATGTTGCCCCCTTATTAATCTCCGGTTAAATTCAAAGTTGGTGTCAAATCATAGCTTATGAAAATCTAAGAAAAAAATGTAAGTTCGGTTTTGCTCTAAGATTAACCGTTTAGGTTTCACAGCCTGTCAAAGTTGCAAAAAAGTCAATTTTCAACTGTCAACATTTCCAAAATAGTTGAACTTAGGTATAGAGTATATCACATGAAATCTCCACAGAATTTTACGTAGAATCCGAATATTCAATATTATACAGGGTGTTCCATTTAAAATAGGAAAGTTGGAGCACGACCAGCATTTCTGAAACACCCTATATATGCGAAAGGGAGTTTTTCAAAAAATTTAATTATTTGGGACACTTTTTTCTAAAATGTCAAATAAAAAAGATAGAGGGGGGTGACATTTATAACCAATAACCCTGTACTTTGACAAGCTATCTTATCTAATATCACAGACATACGATCCTCTTTATATTAAATTTTTTTTTTGCAATGATGATACTGTTACGGCTCTGGGTTGCGTGATATAAATCTTGGGTTCGTTGTTCGTTTATTCCAAAATCAAAGTCCAATTAACACATTCCACGTACACTCGTCACTCTGATACTAATTACTTACTCAACAACTAAACTCTTTACAACTCTTAATAATAATCAATATCTACCTCATATCACAGTCAAATTTAAACTTAAGAACTACAAAGCAATAGCTGCCTTTATATAGCCGTAATTTATTCATGCGAACTCCCAAATAAACGTGATAAAGTCTTTTCGCGAATGAATCCGCATTTTTCTAGATTCTTGTTGAATTCACGACAGATTGGCGGATGCGTCGTAACACTGCCCTCATCTTAAGGTTGATCGTCCCACGCCCATGATATTTCGTTAATCTGTCTAGATGTACAACTTTCATCTTACTCCTGGGTCCTCATTCTCGAAACAGAGAAGCAGCGTTCTCATGAGAGCGAAGGTTCTGTCTTCATCGCTCATATTCATATTTCCATAAAACTGACACAGACAGAACCTTCGTTCTCATGAGTACTTTATTCCCCGGTTCCGAGAATAAGGACCTTGGTGTTACGCTGAATTCGATAAACTAAATCATTTATTCTCTTGATTATTCTGTAGGGTCCTTCCCATGCTGAAGGTAACTTTGGCGACACTCCTTTCTTTCTTGCTGGATTATACAGCCACACTAAATCACCTTCTTGAAATCCGGCCGAATTGGCTTGCAAATCGTATCTGGTTTTCATTCGGTCACTGGCCAGCTGGATATGCTCCCGAGCAAAATCATAGATACCCAGAAGTCGTCCCCTTACTTCGTCAGCATAATCTCGAATTTCTTTTTGTTCTTCGGGTATTCCAAACATCAGATCGCAAAGTAACCGAGTTCCCTTCCAAAAACGATTCTAGCTGGACTTTTACCTGTTGACTCGTGAACAGCTGCTCTGTATGTCATTAAAAATAGAGGCAAGTGTTTGTCCCAATCTCGCTAGTTCTTTGAGACCACTTTTGTCAGGTGTTCCTCTATCGTCTTCTTAAATCGTTCTATTCTACCATGCCATCAGGCTGTGACTTACCCAAATGATGGTCACGTGTGCTATGCCATATCTTAGAGCGTGGCCTGTATTTTGACATACGTTAATTGTCACTCGTCACCTGTCATTTTTGACAGCTTTCATCTTGTACGGGGTAACAAGTCACGAGGTACCTGTCATCTTGTACGGGATGACAAGTCAGGAGGCACGAGGTACCTGTCATCTTATACGGGGTAACAAGTCACGGGGTATCAACACCTGTCACGTCATCTGTCACTCGTCATTTTTGACAGCTGTCACATGTCAAATACCAGCTGTCAAGTGTTTAATTTAAAATCTAGCATAAGGAGCTTGTTAAGGATGACGTCATGCATATATTTTCCAAAAAAAAAGTCGATTGGAAATGAGATAAGGAAGTTATAGCTTTTTGCGGTTTGTAACCAAACGGCAGGTAATGGGATGATCAAATTTGATATGAGGGTAACAGGTATTTTAGTCCATCGATCCATCAAAAAAGAATATCAAAAATAACTAGGATAAGTTCGTAATGGTGGAAAAAATTGGGACAATGGGGGTTCTACATCCTCGGTCCTCGGGAGGAAATTTCTCGGAGTAAATTTATCAGCTAGAAATTTCCCAACTAACCCAAATAATGGCCGCGTATGCTACCTCATTAGTAATCGCAGTCATTGCTAAAAAATTTAATTAGGAAGTAGAAAAACGTAATTGTTGTGTGTTGCGAAATAATAAATTTCAAATTAAATAATTTTTATAGTCAAATAATATTAATAATTTTCGCTGATAACAAATTTAGCGAACTTGCTTAATTTATTCGAAATCCTCTTATCTCAATAACGGAAACCACATTTCCTGTCAATAATATTTGTTGTCATTCATTGATTCAGAGTTAAGTTAGTTAGATTCTAGCGTCCTTAAGTGACACACCGGTAACATTCTATTTGGTTTCTCGGAGTTTGTGTTTGTCTAGAATCGTTTCCCGTTTTTCTGTCTTCTCGTAATAGTTTCTTTATTTCCTCCATGAAATTACTCATAGCATTCTCGAGACTACCATCCTCTTTTGTCGATTGTTTATCCTTTGGATCTTCAATTGACACTGCTCGTATTCTGGGTCGTGAGACACCAAAACCAAAGATTGCCTCCAGTTCTAATGCTTCGCTACTTTGTCTGAACTTAGACATTCTCAAGTTTGCCTGGATTTTAAAATCTCTGATACCATCAATGAACGCAGACACTGCCATACATTCTTGCATGTCTCCCCAGCTGCAAGAAACGCCAAACTCACTAGCCTTTTAACTTCTGATTCGAATTCTTGTAAACTCTCGCCGGGTTTTTGAATTCTTGATTTGACTTGAGTTCTGGTATACTTCTTGCCTGTAATGGTCTCCGAAGCGCAATTCTAACGTCTGACTTAGATGCTGGTAATTCTATTGGTAGATTGAAGGAATGGACTGAAGAAGGTCTAAGGCAGGTCCTCGTAGCGCCACTATCAGAGCTGTAGCTTTTTCTTGGTCGTTCCATCCGTTGGTATTTCCAGCAGCTTCAAATTGTCGGATATACATGGTCCAGGACGTAGAGCCGTCAAAAGTTGGTGGTTTTATCTTCATACTAGAGAATGCCCCAACACTTACTGGATTGATGGACTGTATTTCTAATTTATTCACCTTATCTTCCAGTGCTTAAACTGGTCCTCAATTTTTTGTCTTAATTGCTGAACACCAGATTTGACTTCAGCTTTTACTTCCTGAACGTCGTTTTTAACTTTTTGAATATCGTCTTTAACATGTTTAATCTTCTGGTCAAGGTTAACGACAGTTCTTTGTATGGTTTGAAATATTTTCTGCAGTCTTCCAAGGTTCTCTTGCCGTTCTTGTTGTCGCCTATCTTCTTCTTCTTGTTTTTCTTTTTGTCGCCTGGCTTCTTCTTGTTGTTTTCCTTGCTGTCGTTTGGTCTCTTGAAGTTCCAACATTTTGTGCAGAAGTTCTTCCACTTTTTGTTCATCCATTTTTGCTTGTTGTCTCGTGATAGACATATACAGAATGTTTTGGAATTTTTCTCAAACTCTCTTCAAATATCTTCCCTGGTCTTTTGTTGAAGTTCCAAACACGTCGGTGAAGTCACAAATTGGATAACTTGCTTTATTCTCGAATAGAATGTTCTAGAATTTTTTTTGAAATGTCTTTTCTGGATTTCGATTGATACAACAAACACGTCGGTGAAGTCACAAATTTGATAGGTATCTCCTTCAGTTTCCAAATAGGATGTTCTAGAATTTTCCCGAAACTCCTCGAAAAACTTTTTCTGAATGACGATTGATGTTCCGAATACGCCGACGAAGTCAGAAATTCGATATCTCTCTTGGTTTTCAAATAGAATTTTCTAGAACTCACTCGAAGATTCACTATCACAGTCAAAATCGGGTAGGTATACAGTCACTTCCGGGGTAATTTATACGATGGGTTAAGTCTCTTTTCGTGATTGTCACTGTTTGCACGGACTAACTGTCCCAGTGCTCACTTAGTGTTCAGTGTTCACACTACACTAGTGTCCCCGCACTATTCTGCAATTAGATTTCAGTGGATTTCATTTTGCAGTCCTTTATGTCTCACTTCTGACACCAATTGTCACGGCTTTGGGGTGCGTGACAGAAATCTTGGGTTCGTTGTTCGTTGATTGATTGATCACCAACTTGTTTATTACTGTTTCTGTCAAGTTTGACAAAGCAGCAAATTCTATTTAAATTAGAAATGAAATTGAATGTGAACGTAGCTTCATGCTATTTGCTCAAAGCCGGAGTCTCATGCATCTGTTTTCCGACGTCCCATGTCCGAAAATCTGTATCGTATGAAAATATGTCAAAATAGAAGGCTTTTCGGATATCGGACGTCGAAAAACGGATGCATGAGACTCCGGCTTAAATTTTATGTTATTGTCATCAATTTTGAAAAAAAATTGACAATACCTGCCACATAAATATAATGAAATGAGGACGGGAAATGAGAACGGGAAATGAGGACGGGAAATGAGAACGAGAAGTGGAGCAGGGAAATGAAAAGACAATAAAGTGACATTTTCAAATTTTTAAAAAGTCTGCAATGTCAACATTACATATATGGCTAAAAATAAAAGCATTATTATTATGGAACTTTCTGGAAAAATCCTGAGCAGGTTAGAGAAATTCAAGAGAGTGTGGGAAATCATTATTATGGAAATCTCAGACGTTTAGAGAAAGTTTAAAGAATGCAAGGAAAATATTCATCAAATGGTGGAAAAAATTTCTATGCAAAATTTGCAAGGGATAAAATTACTTGGAAATGTTTTTATTATAGGCCAGGAAATGCAGAAATAATGAAGCAAATTTTAAGAAAGTTTATGGAAAATGTCTGAGACAGTATTGAGGAAATCCGGAAAAATTTGGTGATATTTGAGGAAGTATGGAAATGTGTGGAAGAAGTTTTAGGAAAGTTTTGGAGAAATCCGCAGAAATTGGAAAAAATCCAAAGAATGTCCAAAAAAGGACAAACAATATTTATTAAATATTGTTCTTTAGCAAAAAGACAAAACCTCACATACTTAAAAAAGCTTAAAGACATTCCTGCTCATAATTTTTAAGCAAAATTTTGGAGGGAAGAAACCTTCCGGGAAAATGTGAAAAAATTAGAGAAAGTTTGTAGAAGTATCAAGATAGTTTAATGAAGTTGCAGAAAATTCAAAGGAAATCCAAGTGAAATAATTATCAAATAGGGATAGTTGTTCTTGGACAATTATTATCTTCAACCAAAAAATATGAAGAAAGAGAAATTTAAAAAAGTTTATGGAAAAAGTAGGTAGGTATGCGATAGTCTGAGCAACCTTGAAAAAATTCGAGGAAGTTTGAAGAAGTTCGAAAGAAATTTAAAAAAAAACGTAGAATATTTCTATTCGAAATTTCGGAAAGCAAGCGAATAAAAGAAAAAATACAAAGAGATTTTTTCCTCAAATTCAAAGATATTTCTAAAAAAGTTGCTTCATTTTTCAAGTAGATGAGTTTTTTGGCGGAATAATATTTTTCTGTAAAATTGTGCTTCATAATCTTATTAAATATACACATTTTGATATCATTTGAAATTATATCTTCTCTAGAATAACGATCAACTTTTTTAACGACAGGTGGACAAAAACTGCTTTTTCCAATTAATTAGCAGTAATTAAATGATGAATCTACTTACCGCCAGAACATCGATCATCGTTAATAATATTTACAGCAGGCCTACAATGTTGAACCATAGTGAATTTCGACAAGGGTCTTCTTTCGTATAAACGTTGATCCATTGCCGTTCTGGTTTCTTTCGGAAATTTAACGCATTCTTCGGGAGCAGAATAATCTGACCAACCAGTTTCTATAGAAGAATTTAGACTTGATAAAAATATATTTGTAAGACAAAAGGAGTTTACCGCTTTTTATTGAATTATTTGAAAGGTGCAGTTGTGGACAAGCCTCTTTGACTTTATTCATCAACTCTAAGTAAGCAGCGGCCCTACTTTTATCTTTGGCCAATTTAGCCTCCTTTTCGATTTTCTTGTTTGGCTTAATTTCCGAAGTGTTCTTATGTTTTCTCGATCCAATGTAACTTGAATGTGGATGTTTGGCATTGAATTTTAACTGTTTATCCAGCCTTTCTACTTGTATTTGTACAAAAGTTTTTCCTCTGTTAATATTCTTCGAAGTTGCTTTATGAATTGGAGGATCAATGTCTAGCCGTTTGATAATTTTCCTGCAAAAATAATTTCAAATTTCAATACAAATAATGTGCAAAATTTACCTGAAATTATTTTGTTCACTTCTCAAACTTCTTTGAGAAATTATTGGAGGTAGTCCGAAAGAATAAGATCTTAAAACTTTTGGTTCTTCTACAACAAAATTACCACTGGCAAGTTTACTTTTACAATATTTGCAACAATTGGCTGAATGTAGAGTTTCAAATGATAAGCCTGTAGTGCTGGTTTGCTTGTCAACTTTTTGAGACATTTTTGTCTTGGACTCAACCTTAATAGAAAAAATATCATTAGTTAATTAATTTGTTTAAAATATTAATTGTTTTTAGTTAAGGTACCTTACAATCGCCACTTTTTCTAGCTTTACAATTTACATCAAAATCCGTGCGAATCACTTCACGTTGTACAAAAAATTTCTTCTTTTTTGTTTTCGCAAAGCTTTTCCTTGAATCATCTCCATCAGAATCTAAATTTTGCAATAACTTCTTCATTAAATTGTGCTTTGGAACATTTCTGCCCATAAGTTTACACACGTTACTGTTTCTGTACAGGGTTTGAATTGACGGCGAAGTTCGTTGGAACTTTTCCAGATCCTTCGATTTTGCGGGTCGTGGAATTGAACTGGATTTTTGCATGCTTGGTTTTTCGACAATTGCTCGGTTTCCGCAACAATTTTCGCAGCAACTTTTCGGATACGATTTGATTTTGTCGACGATATCGTACAATTCTGTTGGTTTTTTTCGCTCGAATGGTGGTCTGCTGTTGAATTTGCTGAATAGCATTCGAGGTGTTTTTGTGCTGATTGATTGGCTCAAAACTTAAAATCTGGAAGAAAATTTTTCAGAACAATATTATTTTTTCTATTAAAAGTTAATTGATTTCTTGGATCATAAGTTTGACTGAAAGTTCTAAAATTGTTTTAACTAAATTAGCCACATATTCGGAGTGGAAGAGAGGTCAAAAAAATAGTTAATTATCTCCAAAACCAAAGGTGCGAATTTAACAAAATTTAGTTAGAATAGCCACTGTCAAAATCACAACATTTTTGAATTTAATTTTATAATCCAAATTTAGTTTTATACCGGGTGTTTTTCAAAACCCGCTCACCAAGGGCGCCCACAGAGAGGGTCAGGGGGGGTCACTCAACCCCCCCCCCCTGGAAATCTCTTAAATTTTAATTATTTTCCATATGAATAAAAAATATTAAAACTTCTGATATTAGTTGAACTATGATCGCGGACCGATTTTGCGACTTTATTTTTATTAAAATAGAAAACGTGAATGTATATCGGAATAGGAAAACGCAACGTACCCTAGCCACCAATGCCACCGCACATATATATACAGAGTGACAAACACATGTCACTATTAAGTGAATCAAATAATAAACAATCTGTATGTTAATATGTGGCTTTTCAAATTATGTTTTAGCTTAAATTTTGCATTGCAAGTGTCACATTCAAATGGATGTGTTAGTTTGTGTATCTTCAAATTGCGTTTCCGTTTAAATTTTGATTTGCAAATGTCCCATTCAATTTAAATTTTTCTTTAAATTTTGCATTACATATGTTGCATTTAAAATTCTTCTCGTCCGAGTGTGATAGTTTGTGTCTCTTCAAACTGCCCTTTCTTTTAAATTTTGCTTTGCAAATGTTGCACTTAAAATCCTTCTCATCCAAGTGTGTTAATATGTGTGCGTTCAAATCACCTTTTCCTTTAAATATTTTCTTACCAGTGTCACATTTAAAAGGAAAAATATCCGAGAGTGTTGATATGTGACGCTGTAACTCATTTTTTCCACTTTGTAAGTGATACATTCAAAAGAACAAATATCCAAATATGTTATTAAATGATGTTTCAAATTTGATTTAGTTTTAATTGTAATATTGCAAGTGTAACATTGAAACTTCCTAATACCATCTTGTCTTGATAAATTGATGTCACCCGAATGTTCTTTTTCCTTTATAAATATTCCTTTATTTGGATCTATTAATTCAATATCTGATTCTTCTATTTCGTCTTTAATGTCATCCTCTATGTATGTAGACTTGGTAATTTTTTTTCTTTTTTTTATGGTTTAAAAATCGGGTGTCTTTGAGAAATATGGACAAATTTTTTGATTTTCTAAATAGATAAAGAACACAATGAATTCAAAATACCTATTCTATGAAAAATAACATTATTTTCTCCGTAATTGAATGTATTTTTTCCGAATTTGAATTTACTTTTTCCGAATTTGAATTTACTATTTCCGAATTTGAATTTACATTTTCCTAAATAAAAGTTACTATTTCCGAATTTGAGGTTGAAATGGTGTAGAATGAGAAACTACCTCATGTGATACCTCCTTTGGAAGGTTTTTTATTCCTCTTTGGAGGCATGTAGAAGCAGATAGAATTACAATAAACACATTATTTGGTCGATGCGTATCGGAGAGTTTTATGGCAGATTTTTTTTGTTTAGAGATAGTCAAAATTACTTCACCACGTCCAACAGTATTTTAGAAAGCTTCAATTGTATTTTAGAATAGTCATTTGCTCATTTGTATTTATAGTCTAAGAGCCAGTGAATTTTTTTCCGTAAAAAGTTGCCGATGGAAAATTTCATGCTTAAACGATGTAATATTATCCCCCGAGATCGAAAACCATAGTCTGGCAGCATGTAGTGGGGAAGTTTGGCCTAGGCATAATTAATAAGTCAATAAAAAATTCACGAAAATCGAACTATTTGCCGATGGTCAATTTTTGCGGCATATCATTCAAAAATGTTCCCTTAACAAGGCTGTAATTGTGCCAGACGATTTTCACGGGTTTGAAGCCTTGCCAGACGCCCCCAGATTGCAAAAAAAATATAAAACTTTCGAAATACTTGCCGAAACCTTTTTTTAAAAAAATTATGAGAAAAAAATTGTAAATCGAATGGAAATATTGTCACGACGAGGCTGTAGACGGAGTCGTGATAACCACACGAGTACTATAATGAGCGTTACCGTACGTGTGATATACATTTTATCTACAACTCAGATTTTTGTTTTATGTATACGATGGTTTTGATTTTTCACAAAAGATTATTCGGTGAGCTTAAAGCTCAAGGCTGGAAGAAAATATTTTCTCAACAAGGACTTCAAGCAACACTATCAGCAGCATCAGGTATTAGTTCTACTTTTAATATTCATAAATAAAAAATGAGTTACGTAATGAGCCTATTAAATGACTAGTGATATAAGGAGCTCAATACATCACTAGTACGATAATACAACTTATAACGTAACTCAAATAAACTAAAATGGGTTACATTATCGTAATAAGCTCTCATAGTATGGATGGGTGGGACGTATTTAAAATGAAAAAATCATTATTACACAAAATCATACATAAAACCTAGCTTATTATTTTTTTGACATTTCAGTACAATTATAAATCGATAATTTATATTTTATTTTATGTCAATTCATTGTTCACTATTTAATTATTTTATTTCATTAATAAATTAACAGAAAAAAAAATATAATTATATTACAATGAATTATGAAGTACACGTAGGTACCTGGAATGGTCGCGCCGATTTATAAAATTGAGATGGTCCAAAAAATGTTTATTTTGGGTTAGGCATATACCAAACCTCACAGCAATGAACTAGAAAGAGAAAAGTGGCCATCAGTATATAGCTATCTTTGGAAACACTAAGAGAGAGACAAATGCCATGTCCGACAACGGTGGGTTCCATTCCTGTTACGTGTAGTATACCGGACGTCCCACCGAAAGCTGTCAATGGCCTATATCTTGAAAACGCTAATCGATAAAGAAAAAACCCGTTTGAAGGGGGAACCAAAGCAAGGTACTTTTCAGGTCTCCCAGAACCACCACTCCGGCGGTAGCCACCCTAACCTCAAAATCTTAAACGGCACATAGTTCATGTGATGTGATACCTTGTTTGAGGGGTTTTCCAATTCTCTAAACGAACTGCATAAAAAATTTTATCTAAATACAATTTTAAATTGTCAGAAAATAGCCCATACTTCGAGTTAACAACATTGCCCTCTTGAAGAGGTGAACACTGTCAGATACAGTGAGAGGAAAGGAGTTCGAAAAAATAAAACCTTGATGATTTTTTCAAAATTCTGCATGTTAATAATTTTGTATAAAATCGATCTTAAATCACATTTATCTGTTCCACCAGATCAAATGAGGTTTTCATCAAAATTAGACTCACATTTAAATCTGGATAATTTTTTTTTACAGGTCCATTTAGAAAATTGAATCATCACATGACCTTTAGTACCATTCAGGACTTTGAGGTTAGGGTGGCTACAGCCGGAGAAAAAGTTCGCGGAGAGCTGAAAAGTACCTTGTTTTGGTTCCCCCTTCCAACCCTGCAAACAGGTTTTTTTTTATTTTTTATCGATTACCGTTTTCAAAATATAGGCCATTGACAGTTTTCGGTGGGACACCCGGTAGGTATAGTTCATTCATTGATGTTTTAATATACAAACGCTTTTGTTCCACTCATTCCTTGTCTTTCCATCTCATTTGCTCTCGTACGAGATCGCCGACAGGTGGCCACGGCATATTATCCGCTCCCAGACGCGTGGAGGGGATAATATGTGCGTTCACGTCTGGCAAGGATTAATCCTCGATAAAACCGTCTCGCACTAGGTTTGTTCGATTAGAATTTTTTTTTCTCTTTAATGTAAAAAAAAACAGGTTTCGGCAAGTTTTTCGAATTTTTTATATTTTTTTTTGCATTTTGGGAGCGTCTGGCAAGGCTTTAAACCCGCGAAAACCGTCTGGCATTATTACAGCCTTGTTAGTGGCACATGTTTAAATGATATGCCGCAAAAATTGACCATCGGCAAGTATTTCGAATTTGGTGAATTTTTTAATGACTAATTAATTATGCCTACGACAAACTTCCCCACTACATACTGCCAGACTATGGTTTTTGATCGCGGAGGATAAAACTACATCGTTTAAGCAAGAAATTGTCCATCGGCAACTTTTTACGCTAAAAGTTCACTGGCTCTTAGACTATAATTAGCCAATAAAAATGCATTGCCTCGTGTTGCGCGCGCATACAGGTAAAAATAGATAGGTCTATTCTATCTGCAATATGCAAGAAACTTGAACGAGGGCATGCGCAGAAGTGAGTCAGCTGATTGGTTTCTGCACACTCAACTAAATAGTAGCATAAATAAAAAGAAGTTGTTCTTTGATTTAATGAACAATTCATTAAAATCGGTCCAAAGAACTGCTTCTTTGATCACATGAACTCTACGTTATTGAAGGATGAACAATTTCTTAATTCCTATTTCGATTCATCTTGTGTATGAACAACGAACATTGAAGTATGTAGCAAGGTTTTTGTATTAATGAAACTTTTCATAGTAACAATAAACATCGTTCTTAGTTTATATGTACTTTTTCATTGGCCTAATGAACAGACGGCATAATATTAATGAAGCCCAGATATACTTTGATGAACTCCTTTAATTATGAATCACAGTCTTAAATACTAAGAATTTCATTTATTGTATTTATTAATGACGTTTTCAATAATATGTACCATATTCTTTATTTTTATTAAAATAATTGCATCAATTATGCCTTAAATATACTTATGATTTCAAATGGGGTACAGGATCATTTTTTATATTTGCGTGACCCCTATACTGATGAATATGAGCAATAGGAAAAAAGCTTTCAATACAAAAGTTGCATGGTTTCTTCGTATCATCTACCAGAATTGTCAAACAAACCAATGGGCATCCCAAAATCTGAAAATTTAAAAATCTAAGTACCTACTTATGTATTTTTATTTTAAATGAC